TCAAAGAAATTAAGAACCCTGAGATAAGACTTGAGGAAATGATCACAAGAATGGATAATTAAGAGAAAAATATGAATGAATTAAAAGAGCTGAAAAACACAATACGAGAACTTCACGAAGCATGTACAAGTTTCAACAGCCGAATTGACCAAGCAGAAGAACAAATATCAGAAGTCGAAGATCAACTCAATGAAATAAAATGAGAAACCAAGATCAGAGTAAAAAGCGCAAAAAAAAAAAAAAAATGAACAAAGTCTCCAAGAAATGTGGGACTATGGAAAGAGAGGTAACCTACGTTTAATAGGTGTACCAGAATGTGATGAAGAGAATGAATCCAAGCTGAAAATACTCTTCAGGACATTATCCAGGAAAATTTCCCCCATTCAGCAAGGCAGGCCAACACTCAAATGAAGGAAATACAGAGAACACCACAAAGATATTCCGCAAGAAGAGCAACCCCAAGGCACATAATTGTCAGATTCAACAACGTTGAAATGAAGGAGAAAATACTAAGGGCAGCCAGAGAGAAAGGTGGGGTCACCCACAAAGGGAAGCCAATTAGACTCACAGCAGATCTCTCGGCAGAAACACTACAAGTCAGAAGAAAGTGGAGGCCAATATTCAACATCATTTAAGAAAAGAACTTTCAACCCAGAATTTCATATCTAGCCAAACTGAGCTTCATAAGTGAAAGAAAAATAAAATCCTTTGTGAACAAGCAAGTACTCAGAGTTTGTCACCACCAGGCCTGCTTTACAAGAGCTCCTGAAAGAGGCACTACACATAGAAATGAACAAGCAGTACAAGCCATTCCAAAGTCACACTAAATGCTAAACAGCATCAACATAATGAAGAATCTACAACAACTAATGGGCAAAACAGCCAGCTAGCATCAAAATGGCAGTATCAAATTCACACATAACAATACTAACCCTAAATGTAAATGGATTAAATGCACCAATCTAAAGACGCAGACTGGCAAATTGGATAAAAATCCAAAACCCATCAGTGTGCTGTATCCAGGAAACCCATGTCACATACAAGGATACACAAAGGCTCAATATAAAGGGATGCAAGATTTACCAAGCAAATGAAGAGAAAAAAAAGCAGGAGTTGCAATTCTCATCCTTGATAAAATAGACTTTAAAGCAACAAAGGTCAAAAGAGACAAAGAAGGCCATTACATAATCGTAAAAGGATCGATAAAACAAGAAGAGCTAACGATCCCAAACACATATGGACCCAATACAGGAGCACCCAGATACATAAAGCAAGTTCTTAATGACTTACAAAGGGACTTAGACTCCCACACAATAATAGTGGGAGACTTTAACACTCCACTGTCAATATTAGACAGATCAACCAGACAGAAAATCGACAAGGATATTCAGAGCTTGAACTCAGACCTGGAGCAAGCAAACCTGATGGACATTTACAGGACTCTAAACCCCAAATCCACAGAATATACACTCTTCTCAGCACCACCTCACACCTACTCTAAAATTGACAATATAATTGGAAGTAAAGCACTCCTCAGAAATGCAAAACAATGAAAATAATAACAATCAGTCTCTCAGACCATAGTGCAATCAAGGTAGAACTCAGCATTCAGAAACCAACCCAGAACCGCCCAGCTTTATGGAAACTGAACAACTGGCTCTTGAATGATAACTGGATAAACAATGAAATGAAGGCAGAAACAAAAAAGTTCTTCGAAACCAATGAGAATGAAGACAAAACATGCCAGAATTTCTGGAACACATTTAAAGCAGTCTCTAGAGAAACATATATAGCAATAAATGCCCATGTGAGGAGAATGGAGAGATCCAAATTTGACACCCTATCATCGAAATTGAAAGAGCTAGAGGAGCAAGATCAAAAATACTCAAAACCTAGCAGAAGACAAGAAATAACTAAGATCAGAGAAGAACTGAAAAAGATAGAGTCACGAAAAACCCTTCAAAAAATTAATAAATCCAAAAACTGGATTTTTTAAAAGATCAACAAAATAGACAAACCACTAGCCAGATTGATTAAATAGAATAAAGAGAACAACCAAATAAATGCAATAAAAGATGATAAAAAGTAAATCGCCACAGATTACACAGATATTCAAACCATCATCAGAGAATATTACAAACAACTCTATGCACATAAACTAGTAAACCTGGAAGAAATGGATAAATTCCTGGACTCCTGTGTCCTCCCAAGCCTAAACCAAAAGGAAGCTGAAACTATGAATAGACCAATAACAAGGTCAGAAGTCGAGGCAGCAATTAAGAGCCTACAATACACACAAAAAAAAAACCAGGTCCAGATGGGTTCACAGCTAAATACTACCAGACATACAAAGAGGAGCTGGTACCATTTTTTCTGAAACTATTCCAAATAATCCAAAAATAGGGAATCCTTCCCACATCATTTTATGAGACCAACATCATCCTGATACTAAAACCCGGCAGAGACCCAACAAGAAAAGAAAACTTCAGGCCAATATCCATGATGAACATAAATGCAAAAATCTTCAATAAAATAATGGCAAACCGATTGCAACAGCAAATCACAAAACTTATCCATCATGATCAAGTAGGATTCATCCCGGGAATGCAAGGCTGGTTCGACATCTGCAAGTCTAAAAACGTAATTCACCACATAAACAGAACCAAAAACAAAAACCACATAATAATCTCAATTGACGCAGATAAGGCATTTGACAAAATTCAGCAGCTCTTTATGATAAAAACCCTCAGTAAACTCGGTATCGATGGAAAGTATCTCAAAGTAATAAAAGCTATTTATGACAAACCAACAGCCAATATCATACTGAATGGGCAAAGCATTCCCTTTAAAATCTGGCACTAGACAAGGATGCCTTCTTTCACCACTCCTTTTCAATATAGTACTGAAAGTTCTGGCCAGAACAATCAGGCAAGAAAAAGAAATAAAACGTATTCAAATAGGAAAGGTGGAAGCCAAGTTGTCTCTATTTGCAGACGACATGATAGTATACCTAGAAGACCCCATCGCCTCAGCACAAAAACTCCTGAAACTGATGAGCAACTTCAGCAAAGTCTTAGGATATAAAATCAATGTGAAAAAATCACAAGCATTCCTCTACATCAATAACAGACTTAAAGAAAGCCAAATCAAGAACGAACTGCCATTCACAGTCGCTACAAAAAGAATAAAATACCTAGGAATACAACTCACATGAAACGTAAGGCACCTCTTCAAAAAAAAAAAAAAAAAAAACTACAAACCACTGCCCAACGAAATAAAGGAAAACACAAACAGATGGAGAAACATTCCCTGTTTATAGTTAGGAAGAATTAATATCGTGAAAATGGCTATACTGACCAAAGTAATTTACAGAATCAATGCTATCCCATCAAGCTATAATTGACTTTCTTCACAGAATTGGGAAAAACCACCATGAACTTCATATGAAACCAAATGAGAGCCTGCATAGCCAAGTCAATTCTAAGTAAAAAGAACACAGTGGGGGGCATCACACTACCGAATTTCAACTATATTACAAGGCTACAGTAATTGAAACAGCATGGTACTGGTACTGAAACAGAGCTATTGACCAATGGAACAAAACAGAGGCGTCGGAGGCAACACAACATATCTACAACCATACAATCTTTGATAAACTTGACAAAAACAAGCAATGAGGAATGAATTCCTTGTTTAATAAATGGTGTTGGAAAACTGGCTAGCCACGTGCAGAAAGCAGAATCTGGACCCCTTCCTGACACCGTACACTGAAATTAACTCCAGATGGATTAAAGACTTAAACATAAGACCTGGCACCAGAAAAACCCTAGAAAGAAATCTAGGCAAAACTATCCAGGACATAGGAGTCGGCAAGGACTTCATGAACAAAACATTAAAAGAATTGGCAACAAAAGCCAAAATAGACAAATGGGACCTAATGAAACTCCACAGCTTCTGCACGGCAAAAGAAACAGTCACTAGAGTGAATTAGCAACCAACAGAATGGGAAAAAATTTTTGCAGTTTACCCATCTGACAAAGGGCTGATATCCAGAATTTACAAAGAACTCAAACAGATTTACAGGAAAAAAACCAAACATGTCCATTCAAAAATGAGCAAAGGATATGAACAGACACTTTACAAAAGAATACATATATGAGGCCAACAATCATATTAAAAAAATGCTCATCATCACTGGTCATCAGAGAGATGCAAATCAGAACCACATTGAGACACCATCTCACGCCAGTTAGAATGGCGATCATTAAAAAATCTGGAGACAACAGATGCTGGAGAGGATGTGGAGAAAAAGGAACACTTTTACACTGTTGGTGGGAGTGTAAATTAGTTCAATTATTGTGGAAGACAGTGTGTCGATTCCTCAAGGCCTTAGAAATAGAAATTCCATTTGACCCAGCAATCCCATTACTGGGTATATATCCAAAAGACTATAAATCGTTCTACTATAAGGACACATGCACACGAATGTTCATTGCAGCACTGTTTACAATAGCAAAGACCTGGAATCAACCCAAATGCCCATTGATGATAGACTGGATTGGGAAGGGGCACATATACACCATGAAATATTATGCAGCAATCAGAAATGATGAGTTCGTGTCATTTGTAGGGACATGGATGAATCTGGAGAACATCATTTTCAGCAACCTGACACAAGAACAGAAAATGAAACACCGCATATTCTCACTCATAGGTGGGTGATGAAAAATGAGAACACATGGACACAGAGAGGGGAGTACTAAACACTGGGGTCTATTGGGGGGGAAAGGGGAGGGCCAGTGGGAGGGGGAGGGATAGCCTGGGGAGAAATGCCAAATGTGGGTGAAGGGGAGAAAGCCAATAAAACACACTGCCATGTGTGTACCTATGCAACTGTCTTGCATGCTCTGCACATTTACCCCAAAACCTAAAATGCAATAAAAAATTAAAAAAAAAACAGAAAAACAAAAAAAATTAAAAACCTGACCTGGGCATGGCATGTGCTGTCTTTGGCAGCACCTATAGTAAAATTGAAACGGTACACAGAAAAACGTCATGGCCTCCACGCTAGAATGACATGCAAAGGTGTGCAGCATTCCGTATTTTCTTTTTTGCTTTTGTGGCTGTTTTATAGAAATCAAATACAGATAGATTTGATTTACAAAAAAAAAGAAAAAATGGAAGGTTTGCTGGACGTGGTGGTGTGGACTCCTGCATCCCCAGCTCCTTGGGAGGCTGTGGCAGGACAATCGCTTGAATTGAAGAGGCAGATGTTGCAATAAGCCAAGATCTCAGCGTGTCACTCAAGCCTGGGTGACACGAGGAAAACACTATGTCATAAAAAAAGACGGGGTGGGGAGTGAAGTCATCCGGCACATCGTTTTTTACAATTGTACACACTTGTCTCTCTGATTTCTTTATTTTTTCTATTTCTCTTTCTTTAAATGAGGTGGGTTTTCACCACGATGCCCAAGCTGACCTGGAACTCATGACCTCAGGTGACCTGCCCACCTCGGCCTCCCAAAGTGCTAGGATTGCTGCTGTGAGTCACAGCGCCCGGCTCAGTCTCTCTGATTTTTTTTTAACAATAAAATCAGCCAACTGGGCACAGTGGCTCACGTGAGCCGGTCATCCCAGCGCTTTGTAGACTAAGGGGGGCAAATCACTCGAGTTTGCGGGTTCGAGACCGGCCCGACCAACATTGTGAAACCCCGTCTTTAAGATGAGAAGAAAACTTGGGTTCGGTTCGGCAGCTCACGACTGTAATCCCAGCACTTTGGAAGGCCGAGGCTAGTGGACAGTGAGGTCACAGGCTTGATACTGGCCTTGACAGACACAGAGCAACCTGGTCCCTATAAAAAACATAGAAACAGAAAAAAATTAAAAAGCTGACCAGGCATGGCATGTGCTTGCTTCTGTAGCACCTACACTAAAATTGAAATGTTACACAGAAGGCTGGCATGGCCGCCACGCAAGAATGACATGAAAAGGTAAGCAGCTTTCTGTACTTTTTGTGTGTGGCTGTTTTGTAGAAATCAAATACAGATAGATTTGAGGTACAAACACAAAACAAAACAGAAAAACCAGAAAGTTAGGTGGATGTGGTGGTGTGGACATCCGCAACTTCAGCTACTTGAGAGGCTGCAGCAGGACAATCGCTTGAACTGAGGAGGCGGATGTTGCAATGGGCCAAGATTTCACTGTTGCACTTCAGGCTAAGTGACAAGAGGGAAACACTACGTCATAAAGAAAGAAGGGAAATAGGTGGAGTCATCCATCCCGTCGTTTTTTTACAATTGTACACACTGGTTGGTCTGATTTCTTTTCATTTTCTTTTTCTCTTTTTTCTTAAATGAGGTGGGTTTCACCGGGATACCGAGGCTGACCTCACACTTGTAACCTCAGGTGACCCACCCACCTCGGCCTCCCAAAGTGCTAGGATTTCTGCTGTGAGTCACAGCTCCTGGCCCAGTCTCCCTGATTTCTTTCTGAACAATAAAGTCAGCTGGCCGGGCATAATGAATCATGTGAGCCTGTAATCCAAGCGCTTTGAAGACTAGGGCATTCGGTTCACCTGAAATTGCAGGTTGGAGACTGGCCCAACTAACGTGGTGATACCCCATCTTTAAAATAAAAATAAAACTTGGGTTGGGCTCGGAGGCTCACGCCTGTAATCCCAGAGCTTTGAAAGACTGAGGCAGGCAGATTGTGAGGTCACAGGTTCAAGACTGGCCTTGAACGACATAGCACAACCTGCTCCCTGGTAAAAACATAAAAATAGGGAAAAAAAAGCTGAGCCGGGCATGGAATGTGCTTGCTTTGGCAGCACCTACACTAAAATTGGGAGGGTACACCGAAGGCCGGTGTGCGCCGGGCAAGGATTACATGCAAAGATGTGCAGGTTTCCGTATTTTTTTTTTTTTTTTTGGCCATTGTAGCTGTTTTGTAGAAAACAAATACAGATAGATCTCAGGATATAAAATCAATGTGCAAAAATCACAAGCATTCCTCTACACCAATAAGAGACTTAAAGAAAGCCAAATCAAGAATGAACTGCCATTCACAATTGCTACAAAAAGAATAAAATACCTAGAAATACAACTCACAAGGAACGTAAGAGACCTTTTCAAGGAAAACTACAAACCACTGCTCAACGAAATAAGAGAGGACACAAACAGATGGAGAAACATTCCATGTTCATTTTTAGGAAGAATTAATATCGTGAAAATGGCTATACTGGCCAAAGTAATTTACAGAATCAATGCTATCCCCATCAAGCTACCATTGACTTTCTTCACAGAACTGGAGAAAACCACCATGAACTTTATATGGAACCCGCATAGCCAAGTCAATTCTAAGCAAAAAGAACACAATGGGGGGCATCACACTACCGGATTTTAAACTGTACTACAAGGCTACAGTAATCAAAACAGCATGGTACTTGTACCAAAACAGAGACATAGACCAATGGAACAAAACAGAGGCATTGGAGGCAACACAACATATCTACAACCATACAATTTTTGATAAACCTGACAAAAACAAGCAATGGGGAAAGGATTCCCTGTTTAACAAATGGTGTTGGGAAAACTGGCTAGCCATGTGCAGAAAGCAGAAACTGGACCCCTTCCTGACCCCTTACACTAAAATTAACTCCAGATGGATTAAAGACTTAAACATAAGACCTGGCACCAGAATAACCCTAGAAGGAAATTTAGGCAAAACCATCCAGGACATATAAGTAGGCAAGGACTTCATGAACAAAACACCAAAACCATTGGCAACAAAAGCCAAAATAGACAAATGGAACCTGATGAAACTCCACAGCTTCTGCACGGCAAAAGAAACAGTCACTAGAGTGAATCGGCAACCAACAGAATGGGAAACAATTTTTGCAGTTTACCCATCTGACAAAGGGTTGATATCCAGAATTTACAATGAACTCAAACAGATTTACAGGAAAAAACAAACAAGCCCATTCAAAAGTGGGCAAAGGATATGAACAGACCCTTTACGAAAGAAGACATATATAAAGCCAACAATAATATGAAAAAATGCTCATCACTGGTCATCAGAGAGATGCAAATCAAAACCACATTGAGATACCATCTCACGCCAGTTAGAATGGCGATCATTAAAAAATCTGGAGACAACAGATGCTGGAGAGGATGTGGAGAAAAAGGAACACTTTTACACTGTTGGTGGGAGTGTAAATTAGTTCAACCATTGTGGAAGACAGTGTGGCGATTCCTCAAGGCCTTAGAAATAGAAATTGCATTTGACCCAGCAATCCCATTACTGGGTATATATCCAAAGGAGTATAAATCGTTCTATTACAAGGACACATGCACACGAATGTTCATTGCAGCACTGTTTACAATAGCAAAGACCTGGAATCAACCCAAATGCCCAATGATGATAGACTGGGTTGGGAAAATGTGGCACATATACACCATGGAATATTATGCAGCAATCAGAAATTATGAGTTCGTGTCGTTTGTAGGGACATGGATGAATCTGGAGAACATCATTTTCAGCAACCTGACACAAGAACAGAAAATGAAACACCGCATATTCTCACTCATAGGCGGGTGATGAAAAATGGGAACACATGGGCACAGAGAGGGGAGTACTAAACACTGGGGTCTATTGGGAGGAAAAGGGGAGGGCCAATGAAAGGTGGTGGTGGGGAGGGATAGCCTGGGAGGAAATGCCAAATGTGGTTGAAGGGGCGAAAGCAAGCAAAACACACTGCCATGTGTGTACCTATGTAACTGTCTTCCATGTTCTGCACATGTACCCCAAAACCTAAAATGTAATAAAAAAAAAAAAGAAAAGTAGAAATTTAGCTGGACGTGTTGGTATGGAAACCTGCAATTCTAGCTCCTTCGGAGGCTGTGGCAGGACAATCGCTTGAACAGAGGAGGCAGATGTTGCAATAAGCCAAGATCGAACCATTGCACTCCCTCCTGGATGATAAGAAGGAAACACTAAGTCATAAAGAAATGCGGGGAGAGGGTCGTGTCATCCGGCATCTCGTTTTTTACAATTGTACACACTGGTCTGTCTGATTTCTTTTTTTTTTCTCTCTCTTATTTTAAATGAGGTAGGTTTTCACCGGGATGCCCAGGCTGACCTCGAACTCATGACCTCAGGTGACCCGCCCACCTCAGCCTCCCAAAGTGCTAGGATTGCGGGCATGAGTCACAACGCTTTGCCCAGTTTCTCCGATTTTTTCTTTAACAATAAAGTCGGCCGGCAGGGCATGGTAACTCACATAAGCCTGTCATCCAAGCGCTTTGAAGACCAAGGTGGGCAGATCACCCGAGGTTGCAGGATCGAGACCGGCCCAACCAACATGGTGAAATCCAGTCTTTAAAATGAAAACAAAACAAAGGTTTGCTTTGGCGGCTCACGCCTGTAATCCCAGCACTTTGGAAGGCTGAGGCGAGCGGATCGTGGGGTACAGGTTCCAGACTGGCCTTGAACGACAGAGTGCAACTCGCTCGCTATAGAAAACATAAAAACAGAAAAAAATTAAAATGCTGAGCTGGGCATGCCATGCGTTAATTTCGGTAGCACCTACACTAATATTGGGATGATACACAGAAGGCCGGCGTGGCCACCGCACAAGGATGATACACAAAGGTGTGCAGCTTTCCATACTTTTTTTTTTTTGCCTTTGTGGCTATTTTGTTGAAATCAAATACAGATAGATTTGAGGTATAAAAAAAAACTGAAAGATAGCTGGATGTGGTGGTGTGTACACCTGCAACCCCAGCTACTACGGAGCCTGAGGCAGTACAATCGCTTGAACAAGAAAGGCAGATGATGTAATGGGTCAAGTTCGCACCATTGCACTCCACCCTGGTTGAACAAAGGGAAACATTATGTCATTAAAAAAGGGGTGGTGGCGGAGAGTCATCCAGCACCTCGTTTTTACAATTGCACCCACTGATCTGTCTCATTTATTTCTTTCTTTTTTGAAATGAGGTGGGTTTTCACCAGGATGGTCAGGCTGACCTCTAACTGGTGACCTCAGGTGATTTACTCACCTTGGCCCCCCACAGTGTTGGATGGCTGGTATGAGTCACAGCACCCGGCCCAGTCTCTCTGATTCTTTAAGATTAAAGTTGGCTGAACATGGTGGCTCACGCCTGTAATTCAAGGGCTTTGGAGACCAAGGCGGGCGCATTACCCAAGGTCGCGGGTTCCAGACCGACCCGACCAACGTGGTGAAACCCCGTCTTTGAAAAAAAAAAAAACAAAAATAAGGTTGGGCTCAGCAGCTCATGCCTGCAATCCTAGCACTTTGGAAGTCCGAGGTGAGTGGATCATGAGGTCAGAAGTTCCAGACTGGCCTGATCAACAGAGTGCAACCCGCTCCCTATAAAAAAAATTAAAAACAGAAAAAATAATAAACTGATCTGGGCACTGCATGTGCTCACTTCAACAGCACCTACACTAAAATTGGAATAATACACAGAATGTCAGCATGGCCCCTGCGCAAGGACGACACACAAATGTGTGCAGTGTTTTGTATTTGTTTGTTGTTGTGCTTGTTTTGTAAAAATCAAATATAGATAGATTTGAGGTACAAAAACACCAAGAAGTTAGCTGGATGTGGTGGTGTGGACACCTGCAACCCTGGCTACTTGGGAGGCTGAGGCAGGACAATCGCTTGAACCAAGGGGGCAGATGTTGCAATGGGCCAAGGTCACACAGTTGCACTCCAGCCTGGGTGACAAGAGGAAAACACTATGTCATAAAAAAGGACGGAACTGTGGGGAGTAATCCAACACCATGTTTTTACAATTGTACACATTAATCTGTCTGATTTCTTTCTTTCTTTTTTTTTTTTTTTAAAGAACGTGGGTTTTCACCTGTATGGCCAGGCTGACCTCAAACCTGTGACCTCAGGTGATCCACCCACCTCGGCCTCCCACAGTGCTAGGATTGCTGGCGTGAGTCACAGTGCCCAACTCAGTCTCTGATTCTTTAAGACTAAAGTCGTCCGGGCATGGTGGCTCTGCCTGTAATCCAATATCACCAAGGCAGGTGCATCACCCGAGGTTGCGGGTTTGAGACTGGCCTGACCAACATGGTGAAACCTTGTATTTAAAAGAAAAACAAAAATTAGGTAGGGCTCAACGGCTCACGCCTGTAATCCTAGCACTTTGGAAGTCCTAGGTGAGTGGATCATGAGGTCTGCCTAAACGACAGAGTGCAACCTGCTCCCTATAAAAAAATTAAATACTGAGCCGGGCATGGCAAGTGCTCACTTTGGCAGCACCTACACTAAAATTGGAACTATAAACAGAAGGTCAGCAAGGCTTTGGCGCAAGGAAGACACACAAATGTGTGCAGCTTTCCATATTTATTTTATTGTTGTGCTTGTTTTGTAAAAATCAAATATAGATAGGTTTGAGGTACAAAAAAACAAAAAGTTAGCTGGACGTAGTGGTGTGGACACCTGCAAACCCTGCTACTTGGGTGGCTGAGTCAGGACAATCACTTGAACCAAGGAGGCAGATGTTGCAATGGGTCAAGGTCCCATGGCTGCACTCGAGTCTGGGGGACAAGAGTCATAACAAAAGCAGGCAGCAGGGAGTTATCCAGCACCTTGCTTTCAGAATTGTACACACTGATCTGTCTGACTTCTTTCTTTCTTTCTTTCTTTCTTTCTTTCTTTCTTTCTTTCTTTCTTTCTGTCTTTCTTTCTTTCTTTCTTTCTTTCCTTCTAATGAGTTGGGTTTTCACCAGGATGGCCAGGCTGACCTCAAACCCGTGACCTTGGATGATCCACCCACCTCGGCCTCCCATAGTGCTAGGATCGCTGGCGTGAGTCACAGCGCCTGGCCCAATCTCTCTGATTCTTTAAGAATAAAGTTGTCTGGGCATAGTGGGTTACGTCTGCACACAAATGTGCACAGCATTCTGTATTTTTTTTGTTTTTCTGCTTGTTTTGTAAAAATAAAATATAGATAGATTTAAGGTACAAAAAAACACAAAAAGTTAGCTGGACGTGGTGGTGTGGACACCTGCAACCATGGCTACTTGAGAGGCTGAGGCAGGACAATCGCTTGAACCAAGGAGGCAGATGTTTCAATGGGCCAAGGTCTCACTGTTGCACTCCAGCATGGGTGACAAGAGGAAAACACTATGTCTTAAAAAGAGGCGGGGCAGTGGGGAGTCATCCAGAATCTCATTTTTACAATTGTACACACTGAACTTTCTGATTTCTTTCTTTTAAAAAAAAAAATAATATGGGTTTTCACTAGGATAACCGGGCTGACCTTGAACCTGGGAACTCAGGTGATTCACCCGCCTTGGCCTTCCACAGTGCTAGAATTGATGGCGTGAGTCAAAGTGCCAAGCCCAGTGTCTCTAATTCTTTAAGAATAAGGATGGGGGAGAGGATCCAAGATGTTTGATAGCTAACAGCTCAGGATTGTAGATCCCAGTGAAAGTGCAGAAAATGAGAGGACGCCACACTTTCAGATGAATTTTCATGACTCAGGGACCAGAAGATTCCCAGTGCAGAAGCCCCACGGGTCGCCAGCATGACTTGTGGATGGTGCAGCAGTTTTGCTGGCACCTCAGTGTGGCAGTTATTCATGCAGAGTAAACGGGACTGGTTCCCCTTCTGACCCATGTTTGGAGCTCCAGGAAGGCAGAGTCACCTATTACAGACTCAAGAAAAAAGCCAGACTGGAGATTCCTGGTGGAAGATCACCATCAGTCTTATCGCTGCTTTTTTGGTCAGCGCTGTGGGTTGTTTGGACTCCAGCACTGGGAATCAATAATCTAAACGTCCACTCAGAAACCTAATTAGAAAGGTGTTAATTGTAAAGATGACAGATGGATACATTTATAACAAAGGTAAGAAACCGGCCTAAAAAGGCAGAGAATACCCAAAATCAGAACCCCTCTTTCTTTACAGGGGATTACAGTTCCTCATCAGCAATGGAACAAGCCCTGATGGAGAAGGACTGTGTTCCATTAACAGAAGTAAGCTTCAGAAGGTGGATAATAAGAAATTTCTGGGAGTTAAAAGAGCTTGTTCTAACCCAATGTAAAGAAACTAAGAACTTTTAAAAAAGGTTTGACGAAATGCTAACAAGAATAGACAATATAGAGAGGAATATAAATGAATTAATGGAGTTGAAAAACACAACACGAGAACTTAGCAAAATATGCAAAAGTTTTAATAGCCGAATTGATCAAGCAGAAAAAAGGATATCAGAGGTCAAAGACCAACTTAATGAACTAAAACGAGGAGACAAGAATAGAGAAAAAGAATAAAAAGGAATGAAAAAATTCTCCAAGAAATATGGGACTATGTGAAAAGACCTAATTTGCATTTGATAGGTGTATGTGAATGTGATAAAGAGAATGAATCCAAGCTGGAAAATACTCTTCAAAATATTATTCAGGAAAGCTTTTCCAACCTAGCAAAGCAGAACAATATTCAACCCCAGGTAATACAGAGAACACCACAAAGATATTCCTCAAGAAGAGCAACCCCAAGGCACATAATCATTAGATTTACCAGGGTTCAAATGAAGGAGAAAATACTAAGGGAAGCCAGAGAGAAAGGTTAGGTTACCCTCAAAGGGAAACCTATTAGACTTATGGCAGATCTCTCAGCAGAAACCCTAGAAGCCAGAAGAGAGTGGGGGCCAATATTTAACATACTTAAAGAAAAGAACTTTCAACCCAGAATTTCATATCCAGCCAAACTAAGCTTCACAATTGAAGGAAAAATAAAATATTTTATGAATAAGCAACAAATGGAGGAAACAGCCAGTAAACATCAAATGGCAGTAACCCTAAATTTAAGTTGACTAATCCCCCAATTAAAAGATACAGCCAAAACCTAATGGTATGCTGCATCCAGACCCATTTCACATCCAAAGATACACAAAGACTCAAAACAAAGGGATGGAGAAAGATATACCAACCAAATGGAGAACAAAAATAAATAAGAAAATAAAAAGCAGGAGTTGCAATTCTTGCATCTGATAAAATAGATTTCAAAGCAACAAAGATATAGTGGTAAAAAGAATCAATGCAACAATAAGAGCTAACGATCCTAACACCCAGATACATAAGACCCATAAAGAGATTTAGACTCAGCGAGACAGAGAATTAATAAGGATATGCAGAGCTTGAACTCAAATCCAGAACAAGTAAACTCAATAAATATTTATGGAGCTCTCCATTTTTAAATACACAAAATATACATTCTCCACCTTCAATACACAAAATATTGATCGGCCATTATTAATATCCATTTTTAAAATAAAGCAATATTCCCGTTCTCTCTCCCTCTTTTTCTTCCTCTTTCTTTCTGTCCTTCACTCCTTTTGTTTCTTTCATTTATTCTCTCCTTTCAAAAAAAAAGTAAAGTTACAAGCAGCAAAGGACTTAGAATATCCAACACAATTGTAAAAAAAAAACAAGTTTGGAAGATTCACGTTCTGAATACAAGACTTATTTTAAAGCAACAGTAATCATGGGGGGCATATTCACAAAAAAACTGGCACAGATCAACAGAAGAGAATACATACAGACTCGAGGCCAGGCACTGTAGCTCAGGCCTGTAATCCCAGTACTTTGGGAGGCCGAGGCAGGCAGATCACTTGAGGTCAGGAGTTCAAGACCAGCCTGACCAACATGGTGAAACCCTGTCTCTACTAAAAATACAAAAATTAACCAGACATGGTGGTGGCTAATTTAATCCTGTAATCCCAGCTACTCAAAAGGCTGAGGCAGAAGAATCACTCAAACCCGGGGTGGAGGTTGCAGTGAGCCAAGATTGTGCTGGTGCACTCCATCCTGGGTGACAGAGGGAGACTCCATCTCAAAAAAACAACTAAAAAAATCAAAAACAAACAACAGCAACAAAAGAGAGAGAGAATACAGACTCTAGAAACAGAGTCACAAATAATAAAAAGCCAAATTGTTCCAAAAAATGGTGCCAATGCAATTTAGTTGAAAACAAATATTAGAACTCTCAGACATAAACAAAAACAAACAAGCTTGATATTGCCTGTGATGAAAGAACTCTGACTGTGCTAGCCCAGGAGAGGAGCAGGTAAAGAAAGCTTTGCCATTTTGAGGCCGTTTGGAACCACCTGAATTTTTTTTAAATTTGTGTTACAAAAAAACAAACTTTAAGATTTATTTTTGTGACTTTTTTCAACAGGGAAAACAATACACTCCTCAGGGAAAGGTGAGGCACTGAGAAGACTGGCCTTGGGTAAAATTCTTCTGACAGCACCTGGAGTTGAGAGGCCTGCCTAGGCGAGAACACAGGCACTCCACACCAGCACAGACGGCAGTTGCTGTCTGGGGTCAGCAGATCAGTTCATACACCACGCAAGGTTGCTTTAGATCCAAGTCACAAAAATCTTCCAGCTCATCATGAAACAAGTCCCACTCATCTTCAGAGTCTGTTAACTCATCATCCCCACCTGCAGCCAAACGTGTGAGTGACATCTCCCTTAGCCCCAAGCTGACAACCTGTTCTTCATCATTGTTGAAGGAGTTGCTGTTATCTCCTTCTTGAATAAATTCCCAGAAATGCTTCCTTCACTGGGCCCGGTATCTGCTTGAGGTTCCCACTTTCTGTCTCTGTGGCTCTTCTCTGTGGCCATCAGGGCATCCTGGTTTGTAAAAGGCCCTTCAAATGGGCAGCTCCCACATCCTTCATCAAAATACCTGCAATGCCTAGCGTGGTGGCATGTGCCTGACATCCCAGCTAGTCGGGAGGCCGAGGCGGGAGGATCGCTTGAGCCCAGAAGTTCTGGGCTGTAGTGTGCTATACCGATCGGGTGTCCACACTAAGTTCAGCATCAGTATGATGATCTCCCAGGAGTGGGGGACCACTAGGTTGCCTAAGGAGGGGTGAACCGACCCAGAACGGAAATAGAGCAGGTCAAAACTCCCATGCTGATCAGTAGTGGGATCGCGCCCATGAATAGCCATTACACTCCATCCTGGGCAACATAGCAAGACCCGTCTCTTGAAAAAAAAAATAATTAAAATCAAAATACCTGCACGCCTTGTTGCTCAATGCCTCCTTGTATTTCTGAATGAGTTTCTGCTTCTCTTCTTTCTCCTCCACCCAGGACTCACTTGGAATGACAAAGTTGGATGTGATCTGGCATTCTGGGCAGGACTTAATAATCTTGCTCAAATTGCTTAGCATTCCTCCACTTACGAATGTACTTGAGACAGCAGGCATGGTTGAAGTTGGAGAGGATTCCCGAGAAGCGCTGGCTGGGGTTGGCTTTCTCATTGACCACCTTCATGCAGATCTCACACACTGTGTCCTTGCTGCACTCCACAGCAAATGAGAGTGCTATGCCCTTCTCATATGCCTCAGTGCATGATTTACCGGACAGCATCCATCAGATGCAGAACCTGCAGTTCACACATTACAGAAGTAATTTTTAGGCCAGGCACAGTGGCTCACACCTGTAATCCCAGGCAGGTGGTTTACAAGGTCAGGAGTTCAAGACCAGCCTGGCCAACATGGTGAAACCCCATCTCTCCTAAAAATACAAAAATTAGCTGGGCATGGTGGCACATGCCTGTAATCTCAGCTACTCCTGAGGCTGAGGCAGGAGAATTGCTTGAAACAAAACCCAAGAGGTGGAGGTTGCAGTGAGCCGAGATTGCACCACTGCACTCCAGCCTGGGCTACAGAGCGAGACTCCATCTCAATAATAATAATACCTTTTAAGTAAAAAAAAAAGAATATTAAAAGGTAAGCTACAAGCTACACGGTGAGAGGAAAATTCAGGAGATAATGACCATTTAGTATTATAACCGGTGTTATATTCAAAATCTGGACACAGAAATCCCCCCTCAAACAACAGGCAATGTTTCTTATTTATGTTACAGGGAGAATAACTTCAAGCAAAGAAAAAAAGGAGCAGAATCACGCCCACATTTATTTTATGAGGGTAATAGAGCCATAATACCAAAAAGGAGAAAGGAAATTATAGTCTCACCTAACCTGTGACACAGACATAAATGTTTGAAATATAGTAGTGGTAGAAGGATCTCACCCAACATACATTCAAAGCAACACACCACACCTATCAGTATGTAAGATCTATACAGGAAATAAACAATAAATATTAGAAATGTCCATTATACTCATTACAATATTTATAAAGAAAATAAGCTGGGCTTTATTTCAATACAGCTAGAAAAGATGCTCAACATAATTCAAAGCAAATTCATGCATGACTAAATGAAAGTCTAGGCAAACTGGAAAGCAGAGGAAACCTATTATTAACAAAGGTTACCTAGCAAGAGCCAATGTGAGATGGTCTGCAACTGAATCCCACCCAAATCTCAGGTTCAGTTGTAATCTTCAACGTTGAAGGAGGGACCTGGTGGGAGAATGTGACTGGATCTTGCAGGCAGATTTCTAATGGATAGTTTAGTAGCATCCCCTTGGTACTAACCCTGTGATACTGAGTGAGTTTTTCCAAGATCTGGTTGTGGTGTTCGCGCCAAAGGCTCGAGACAGTTAGTTGATTCGTCTCAGTTTGGCTGCTGGACCTGTACTGCATTTCCTCACCTCGAGGGCTGTCGAGTGAGACAGGGCCGTAAGCTGACTCACTAAAAGCAACAACAGAATGCAAAGCAAAGGCCTGCAGTTTATGAGGACATTGTGCTGTCTGCTTCCATGTCCCCCTTCAGTCTCTGTGTAAGCAATAAACTTGCTGCAATTGAAATGTCTAAGAGGAGCAGAGACCTCTGCCCATATTTTCCCTGGAGCCAAGCCTTTGTTTTAGCTCCTGATGCAAAACTGGTTTAACCAGCCACCTTAAGGGTGCCATTGTATCTTTGGAATGTAAAATCATTGAAATGTAAACTACTACCACTAGCCCCCTTAAACTGCTTCCTGAGCAGGATATCAAGCCCCGGATATCTATTTTATGGAGTTTTTGTTTCCTTTCTGTTTTCCCCTTTGTTTCTTTTTGCTGAGATAAGGTAAATGTAAACAAGACAAAAGGTATAAAAGCTGTAACCCACAAAAATAAATTTGCTGCGTTTTGGCCATAATCTTCACGCAGCCCTCCAGACTCTACTTTTCTATATTCTTTCTTTTCCGTGCACTCTCTCTCTCAGGTTGAACGAGACATCTACGTTGGCGGTCTTGGGGACTCCTGCGGGTCGGTAGTCCCCCGGCAGATGTGCCGGACCCCAACATCTGGTAGTTTAAAAGTATGTGGCGCCTCCGCACTCACTCTTTTGCTCCTTCTCTGGCCCTGTGGCATGCCTGCTCCCCCTTCACCTTCTCACATGTAAGTTTTCTGAGGCCTCCCCAGAAGCCAGGCAGATGCCAGCATCATGCTTCCTGAATAGCCTGCAGAACTATGAGCCAAGAAAACCTCTTTTCTTTACCCAATCTCAGGTATTTCTGTATAGCAATGGAAAAATAGACTGACACATAATGTTACACACACAATGGGTGGGTTTGATCACTTGGCAGACCAATGAACACAACCAAGGGTGCATAATAAGGGGGTTTCATTACTTGGAACAAGTAAAAAGGACATGGGAATGGTTCCCCAAAGCAATGCCTCCCCAGAGTGAAAAGGGGGCTTTTATTGGGCTGGTTAGCTAAGTCATTATATGTGGAGGCAGAGTAAAGGCAGTGCAGGCGCAGTAGCTAATCACGCGTCTACCTTTGTGACATGTGTAGTAAATGACAGCAGAGCTCCTCCCTGGGCAGGGTTTTTAGTATGGTAATGAATTTACCAAAGATCCAACTCGTTTTCTTTGTTGTTGTTGTTTTGCAAGGGCTGAGCTTCTTTCTGGAACTTTTGAAACAACAAGAACTCAAAGTGCAACAGTTACAAGTGGGTTCAAAGTGTGTACAAAAAATTCAGGGACCCTGGGTTACACTAAGAGCAAATATCAGAGTTAATGTGGAAAGCACGTATATTTTTCCTCAAGACTGGCTTTATCTATTTCTATTTTTACTTCATTTACATATAGACCCTTATACGCCTCATAAATCCATTAAAATGCCAAGTGGAGAATGAAAAAAGAGCTGCCTGGGAAAATGGATAAAGAGCTCACATGAGATGTACTGGTTTTCTGCAGCCTGTGGGAGAACAGAGAAGTGTGATGGCTCAGCAGGGAGGCTGGGAAGAAATGCAGAGGCAGCACCACCTACCATCTAAGACTCAGACATGCTCAAGTGGACTAAAACTTATGCTTTTCATCAATGAAACACGCACTTTTCCATGGTTAAATGATACCTCAGTTGTTTTCCTGAATGACTAACAGAAACAACACAGCAGGGGATTAAAGTGTGTGATGGATAGCACACTGTTCTTTAATTAAAATTAACACAGCAAAACACTCAGTCTGTACCACTTAACTGTTTCCAAATAATACGACTTGTCTCCCAGGAAAGAAAACCCACAGAAAGCCAAGTAAAATGAATATGGAGGCTTTAAGGCAAGAATTTTTCAGTAGCTTTAACTGGGTTACAGTTTCTCAAAAGGTCTTTTTATAGGATGTTTTTGGTGACTCACCTGTGAGAGCAAACTAAACTGTATTTTCCTCCTGGCTATGTCACAAACTGGGTGTCCCTAGATAAGGCACTCAACCCATCAGGAGCAATTTCTTTAAGCTTTCAAGAGTTGGAAGTAAATAAGCAGGCAAGCCCTTTGTGAGCTGTCATCCTGGGGTCCTGTGAGGCCAGGACCAAATCCTGGGTGTCACATGTGGGGACGGACCTCTGTGGCAACAGTGCAGCATCTGTGAAGAATGAAAAAACAAGCAACTGGGGATGCTTTAGGAATAGCCCAATTGGATTTCTACCCTCTGGCTGCTTATCCCTTAACCATCAGCCTGACCCTCACAAGTTCTGACAGAAAATGGCATTTCTTGTGCAGCCTGCTCTGGGACCTCCCAGTTCACCTTGGTCTTCTCAAAGCTGGTCCAGGCCTTCCACTGTCCCAGAGTGTGGTGGCTTCTGGAGGTGGCCAAATCTTCAAATCTAGCCAGAAGGACCCAAATTGCTTCTGGCCAGCAAATCTAGGACCTGCTCCTGTCTTCACACTTTTGCCTCTTCTCCAAAGCTCTGGTGAGGGAGGGTGATGTTGTAAAGCACCTCTCCCTCCATTCATCCATAAGCATCCCTGTGGAGCCAGGGGAGTAGCTTGAGGCTCCTTCTTTTCCATGTTTGTGCCACTCCACTTTGGGAACTAGAGCAGCAGTTGAAAATAAGAAGGGCTTATAACTTTTTTTCCATTCAGGAAATTGAAATAGAAACCCGAAAGTTTGAGTCTTGTCTGGACTCCAGCACTAACTTGCTGTGTGACTTTAGTGAAATCATGGCCCCTCCTGGGACTGCTATTCTTTCTCTGTGAAGCAGAAATAGATTATTACAGGTGGGAATCCAGATGATAAAAGCCAGTTTGAGGGGCACAGCCAGGTGTCAGTATCCACCTCATGCAGAAGTGCAAATGTGAGAGGCCCTTGTGCTGACCTCCACCTCTCACAGACCCTCCCATCCCTCTCTCCTTCCCTCAGCTTGGGAGACTGAACTCTGCCTTCTTCCTAAAGGTGCAGAAAAGAGAGGAGGAGAGGGAGTTACATCCTTCCCATTCCTTACAGCCACTGAGATCTCAGGGGAAAATATATGAGCACCTTTTATTACGCTTTCCTGGAGACTGAGCAAAATTGTCTGTCCCAGGACACTGCCACTATGTGTTTTGTGGGTTTTCCTAAAACCATGAAGGGCTATATTTTGTACCAAAGAATGAGACACCTCCAGTTGTCACTAGAGCTTCTTTATTACTTTGTAGTGAATAAGGAACAACCTTTTTGTCTCACTTTCCTCTTAAGAGAGAACTTGCCAGAGACTGCAGAGCCCTGTGCCATTGGATACATACAGCAAGACGGGAAAACAAACAGGAAATCTAAGTCTGGAGGTTTCATCAAATCCTCTATTATCTTTAGAATTTTCATCCCCTGAAATCATGAACCAGGCTGAATTTATTCCAGAGCTGACTTCAGAACTCAGTGTCAGAAAGGGCGCAGTGTAATGCATGTATCTGGAAGACTCTTGGAGACACACCTGTGGCCACTGACTTCAAATCAAGGTCAGCGTCTCACCATAATTGAAAGGAAGTTCTAGGCTTTTAAGTGCTTGAATGAGAACCCACTCATACCCCTGACACATTTTGCCAGACAGGTCCCACACACAGCACCCCAGGCAACTTCCAGGATACTAGGGAGACATACACATCATGTGCCCTATGTAAGGGCTTATTGTCAATATACGCAGGGATATGATGGGCACCAGAAGTCCTCTCATCTGCATTACCAGGATCATGGGTCCCAGGCCTTGTGGAGAACAGAGCTTCATTGTTTGCAATCAAGCTTGGTCCCCAGGGATGAGGCTTCCACGCATGAACTTAGTGTTTCTACTTCCAAGAAACAGGAGAATATGGGGAAGAATTTTGCACCAAACCATAACAGATGTGATCGGGCCATTTCAGAAACAACTCATCTGCACAGTACCTAGGCCTTCATAGGATAAGCATTGCTTTGAACACAATTTCTTTATCTTCCTGATTCCCTGTCAAGGAACAACCCATGGGAGATGCCATAAAATACCACATGAGAAGACATTTGAACCTCTGATACCTAGGGACCAAAAAACACAATATTATAGATTTTTAAATCAATTCCGTTGCAATCAGGACACCTATTGTTGGGACTATGTTTGGATCCCCTTCCAGAAACACTCCCTTCATTCATGGAAGCCATCTTTCTCTCCCCTGGATTTCCGCTCTGGAGTACCCTTCCACACTCTCTCGTGGAAGCCTGTCTTCCCCTCCTAAACTCCATCTCTGTCTATGCCCTTTCACTCAGGGTGGAAGCTGCTTTCCTCTCCTGGATTCCATCATTTTGGATTCTCTCACTCCGTGTAAGAGTTAGCTGTTTCTTTCTCTCTCCTTCTCATGTTTCTCTCTAAATAAATTACTTTCTAACAAAAAAAACTCCACTTATTTTCTAACATTTCAATCTTTAGAATTTATTGGAGCTTCTTTATGGCCTAAAAAATGGATTATCCTTTATTTATTTATTTATTATTTATTATTAGTTTTTTTAGCTTCCTGGGAAATACTTTTAAAATCTAGCTAATTCAAGTACACTATATCATAAAGAGTAGTTTGTTTTTTTTTAAGAAATAAGAGAAGGAAAAAAAGAAAAAAAAGGAGTGAACGAGAGGAAGAAAAAGGGAGAGAGAACAGGAGTGTTGCTTTATTTTAAAAATGAGTATTGAAAACCTCTTTTATACCAATAATTGTGCTTAATAATGGCCAATCAATATTTCATTTAAACCTATGAGTAGGTGTGATGTGGTACTGACAAGAATGTATATTTTGTGTATTTAAAGTGGAGAGCTCTATAAATATTTATCAAGTTTACTTGTTCTAGATCTGAGTTCAAGTCCTGGATATGCTTATTAATTTTTTGTCTCATTGATCTATCTAATATTGATGTTGAAGTCTCCCACTATTATTGTGTGGGAGTCTAGGGAGTCTAAGTCTCTTTATAGGCCTTATGTATCTGGGTGTTAGGATTTTTAGCTCTTATTGTTGCATTGATCCTTTTACCACCATAGCTTTGTTGCTTTAAAACCTATTTTATCAGATGCGAAAATTGCAACTCCTGCTTTTTATTTATTTATTTATTTATTTATACTCTCCATTTGGTTGGTAAATCTTTCTCCATCCCTTTGTTTTGAGTCGTTGTGTATCCTTGCATGCAGCATGGGTCTGGATGTAGCATACCATTGGGTTTTGGCTGTATCTTTTGATTGGGGGATTTAGTCGATTTAAATTTTGAGTTACTGCCATTTGATGTTAACTGGCTGTTTTGTCCATTCATTGATGTAAATTCTTCAAATTGTGTTGATGCTCTTTACTTTTTGTACATTTTTAGAAAGGCTACTACTAATTGTTTCTTTCTATGTGTAATGCTTCTTTCAGAAGCTCTTGTAAAGCATGCCTGGTGGTAATAAAATCTCTGAGTACTTGCTTGTTCATAAAAGATTTTATTTTTCCTTCATTTATGAAGCTTAGTGTGGCTGGATATAAAATTCTGGGCTGAAAGTTCTTTTCCTTAAGGATGTTGAATATTGGCCCCCACTCTCTTCTGGCTTGTAGTGTCTCTGCTGAGAGATCTGCTGTAAGTCTGATAGGCTTCCCTTTGTGGGTAACCTGACCTTTTTTTCTGCCTGCCCTTAGTATTTTCTCCTTCATTTCAACCCTGGTGAATCTAACGATTATGTGCCTTGGGGTTGCTCTTCTTGAGGAATATCTTTGTGGTATTCTCTGTATTACCTGGGGTTGAATAGTGTCCTGCTTTGCTAGGTTGGAAAAGCTTTCCTGGATAATATCCTGAAGAGTATTTTCCAGCTTGGATTCAGTCTCTTCATCACATTCACGTACACCTATCAAACATAGATTAGGTCTTTTCGCATAGTCCCATGTTTCTTGGAGACTTTGCTCATTCCTTTTTATCCTTTTTTCTCTATTCTTGTCTCCTCATTTTATTTCATTAAGTTGATTTTTGACCTTTGATATCCTTTCTCCTGCTTGATCAATTCAGCTATTAAAACGTGCATATTTTGCTAAGTTCTCATGTTGTTTTTCAACTCCATTAATTCATTTATATTCCTCTCTATATTGTCTATTCTTGTTAGCATTCATCAATTATCCTCTTAAAGATTCCAGGTACATTTGAAAACAATGTGTAGAATACAATCCTTGGATGTAGTGTAATACATAAATTAAGTCAAATTGGTTGACAGCATTTTTAAAGTCTTCTCCTATCCTACTGGATTTATTTTTTGTCAAGTTTGTTCTATCAGTTACTCTGTGAGAGATATCAAATCTCCAAGCAAGATTGTGGATTTGGCTCTCTTTTTAGTTATATCAGTTTTTGCATGTGTATTTTGAAGCTTTCTCTCAATCTTTCATCTTCAAATAGAGACAGCGTCTTGATATGTCACCCAGACTAGAGTGCAAGTGATATAATCATAGTTCAGTGAACCCTTGGAATTATAGGCTCAAGCTGTCCTCCTGCCCCAGACTCCCTAGCAGCTGCTGTACCTAGTTTATATTTTGAAGCTCTTTTATTTGGTACAGACATATTTACCATTGTTACATATTCCTGATAAATTGACCCTTGTTAACATCTTGAATTGTCTTTTAAAAAATCTCTGGTAAGGGTCCATTTTAGCCTTTTGTATTTTTTTTTATATGGCCCCTAACTTCAGATAAAATATTTCACTGCTTACTTGAATCTGCATTTAAAAATGGAAAAAGGCCAGACTTGGTGGCTCAAACCTGTAATCCCAGCACTTTGAGAGGCCAAGGTGGGTGGATCACATGAGGTAGGGAGTTCGAGGCCAGCCTGGCCAACATTGAGAAACCCCATCTCTTCTAAAAATACAAAATTAACCAAGCCTGATGGCACATGCCTGTAATCCTAACTACTCAGGAGGTTGAGGCAGTAGAATCGTGTGAACCCAGGAGGAGGAGGTTGTGGTGAGCTGATATTGCGCCACTGCACTCCAGCCTGGGCAACAAGAGCAAAACTCCATCTCAAGAAAAACAAATGTAAGGAGGAAATTAATAGGAAATCCAACCTAGTCTGTCCACATGTATGCTCTGATATCACCGAAGAGAAAAAAATATCGTGAATGGAGAAAAACTTCCCACGAACTGAGAATTTAAAAGTATAGATCTGTCCATTTTGGTCATTTCTTGTCTCCTCTTTCCTCAGGAGAACTTTGAGTGAGAGTGAAAACCCAGTGCACTAGGATTTCCTCACTTACAGAAGAATTTGTAACAAGAAAAGTCACCCAATATAGTAGAATTGGTTGCGGGTTTTCTTCCAAAACCAGGAAAGTCGTTGCAAGGAATTTTCTTTCCAGAACAGGACATAAAGAATAAATTGCTTTTACCTTTCCACAACTACAGCAGTGACTTGAAATTGATGCTTTTAATTTACTTCTAATTGTGTGGATAAGGGGAGTATCAGACAAGGACGTCTTTCTTGTGCTGCAATGACTGGAAAGAAAACCATGTAGAGAAAGTAGAGAGGCTGTTAGCTACCTTGGATTATTCTTACCCAATGATCTCCATTGATTATAACTGTGAAGCAGGCTCCCTCCCACCTTCTTCATTCCTCTGGGGGAGGAGGTCTAGGGGAGTGATCCTGGCAGTGGGGGCCAAAGGCAGGGACAACTTGGATCTGTAGCAAATGTTGCACAGCCCAAGAGAGAACAGCCAAGTTCTGTCTGAAGAAGAGGACCAAGCCTCAAGCCAGCAGAGCCCATCCAACTCGTTCAGAGAGAGCAAGCCAGAGATCTTTCTGGAACTGCGGTTTAATGCAAAAGAGTTGCCAAAGATGGAGAGCGGCAAGAGAGACAGAGAGATGTGAGAGAAATGGGGAGATTCCAGAGAGAGATGGAGAGATGTGAGAGAGATGGAGAGAAAAGAGAGATGGAGAGATTAGAGAGAGATGGAGAGGTGAGAGAGAGATGGAGAGATGAGAGAGAGATAGAGAAATGAGAGAGAGATGAAGAAATGTGAGAGAGACAGAAACATGTGAGAGTAACAAGAGGAGGAGAATACATTAAGAGAAGGTCTGGAGAGAGAGCTGATCATGGAACCAGGCTTAGCTTTGCATGAATGGCATTTTATTTTCTTTTTTTGAGACAGAATTTTGCTATTGCTGTCCAGGCTGGAGTGCAATAACATGATCTTGGCTCACCGCATCCTCTGCCTCCCTGGCTCAAGCTATTCTCCTGCCTCAGTCTCCTGGGTAGCTGGGACTACAGGTGCGCACCACAACACCCAGCTAATTTTTGTAGTTTTAGTAGATATGGGGTTTCACCATGTTGGCCAGGATGGTCTGGATCTCTTCACCTCATGATACACCTGCTTCAGCCTCCCAAATTGCTGGGATTACAGGTGTGAGCCACTGTGCCCAGCCAGAGGGCTTTTTTAAAGGCCTGTTGCTCCCATATCTTCTTTTTGGATATGGGTTATATAGATGTATATAATTTGGCCAGGTGCAGTGGCCAGTCAATGAGGTGAAACCCCGTCTCTACTCAAAATACAAAAATTAGCTGGGCATGGTGGTGTGCGCCTGTAGTCCCAGCTACTCGGGAGGCTGAGGCAGGAGAATTACAGGAGCATATCTGTAATAGGCTGATAGTGACCTCCCAAGATGCTCATAACTTAATCCCTGAAACCGGTGAACATGACCTCATATGGTAAAAGAGGCTTTGCAGATATAATGAAGTTAAGGACTTTTGGCCAGGAAGATTATTCTGGCTTGTCACAGTGGGGTTGATGTACTCACCCAGATCCGTATCAGAGCAGAGCAGGTGATGGAGAGCGATGGAAAGTGTAGTGATGGAAGCAGGAACCGTGAGTCATTCAAGAATGGCAGCACAAGCTGAAGAGTGCAGGAAGCCTCCAGGGCCAGGACACTCATTCTCCTACAGAGCCTGGGAAGGTACCTGCCCTGCTCCCACCTTGAGTCAGTGGGACTGACTTTAGAATTCTGGCCTTCAGAACTGTAAAGGAATACATCTGTGTAGTTTTTTTTTTAGACAGAGTTCCGCTCTTTTTACCAAGGCTGGAGTGCAATGGCATGATCTCGGCTCACTGCAACCTCCGCCTTCCAGGTTGAAGCAATTCTCCTGCCTCAGCCTCCTGAGTAGCTGGGATTACAGGCATGCACTCCCACACCCAGCTATTTTTGTATGTTTAGTAGAGATGGAGTTTCTCCATGTTAGTGAGGCTGGTCTCGAACTCCTTACCTCAGGTGATCCACCCACCTCAGCCTCCCAAAGTGTTGGATTACAGGTGTGAGCCACCATACTCAGCTATGTCTATGTTGTTTTAAGCCCTAAGTGTGTGGTAATTTGTTGCAGCAGAAACAGGAAACTAGTATTGTAGTGAAGCCTCAAAACCCAGCGGAAGGGGCTGGGTGCAGTCATTCATGCCTGTAATCCCAGCATTTTGGGAGATCAAATTGGGCAGATCACTTCAGGTTGGACGTTCAAGACCAGACTGGTCAACATGGTGAAACAGTGTCTCTGCAAAAAAACTAGCTGGTGTGGTGGCACATGCCTGTAATCTCAGCTACTTAGGAGGCTAAGACATGGGAACTGTTTGAACCTGAAGAGGGGGAGGCAGAGGTTGTAGTGAGCCAAGATTGTGCCACAGCACTCCAGCCTGGGTGAGAGAGCCAGACTCCATCTCAAAACAAACAAAAAACCCCACCTGAAAAGAGTTTCCCATTCAGTCAGCAGTCCCCCACCCAACCCCCAGAAATAGACCTTTATTCTTTATGGGTTTTTTTTTTTGGAGATGTAGTCTCACTCTGTTTCCCAGGCTAGAGTGCAGTGGCATGACCTTGGCTCACTGCAAACTCTGCCTGCCTGGATCAAGCCATTCTCCTGTCTCAGCCTCCTGAGTAGCTGGGATTAAAGGCAAGTGTCATTACACCTGGCTGATTTTTGTGTTTTTATGTTTTGTCATGTTGCCCAGGCTCTACTCAAACTACTGGCCTCAAGTGATCCATCTGTCTCAGCTTCCCAAAGTGCTGGGATTACAGGTGTGAGCATGGCACTCAGCACTCACCAAGGCCTTTGAACAGCATGCTTTTCCAGGTGATCAGTCCTTGTCTGCTCGGGCTCTGCCACACTCTCCACCACACCAAGTTGGAATCCTTAGCTACTTTTCAGAATAGGAGGGTGTGTACTCTAATCCCAGCTCGGTATGGTTCAGATCTGCATTTAACTCATGGAACCTGGCTCCTTCCCAGGCCATGGAGAAAAAAGGGTCTCTCTGTGGGTATGATACAGGATGAGCCAAGATCATGCCACTGCACTCCAGCCTGGGCTACAACAGTGAGACTCCATCTCAAGAAAACAAAAACAAAACAAAACAAAAAAACCAGACTCCATCTAAAAGAAAAACAAAGACAAAACAAAAACAAATGTGGCATGGCAAAGAAAATAATTACTGTGTTAAAGACAATTTCATAGAAAATAAAAGACAATACAATAAGCTGTCTTTTTAGATTAGGGTAATTCTTATTCTTATTTTAAAGCTAAAAAATGAGCTCAGGGCAAGTGTGGTGGCTCACACCTGTAATCACAGCATTTTCAGAGGCTAAGGCAGGTGGATCATGAGGTCAAGAGATCAAGACAATCCCTGCCAAAATGATGAAACCCCATATCTACTAAAAATACAAAAATTAGCTGGATGTGGTGGTATGTGCCTTGAGTCCAAGCTACTCTGGAGGCTGAGGCAGGAGAATCACTTGAACCCAAGAGGTGGAGGTTGCAGTGATCCAAGATGACACCGCTGCAAAAGAGCAAGACCCCGTCTCTAAAAAATAGAAAACAAATAAAACAAATAAAAGAGAAACAGGCTCAGAGAATGTTATTTGATTGAACCATGTTGCATCTCTGGACAGTGAAGCTGAGATCAGACTTTATGTGTAACTCCCCTAGCCTACCAGGACGCCTCATAAAAGGAAGACATATTAATTTGGCCTAATATACAAAGATGCTGGAACAGTCAATTCTACATACAGTATTTCCATGTTTATCAAGGGAAACCTTAAAGGAAAGTGAAAATACTTGTAGAAGGGACTGGACACCAGTGCCCTCACTTGTTGCCTTCGGGCTCTTCCTCCAAGGGTAACAGTGACCTGAAATTATTGACTGTTCCAATCAATGGGAGAAAATGGTACCAAGGTCACATACATCAGGCAAATTCACTTGAGGACCTATCTGTGTACTTTGACAGACAAAAACTGCTTTTGTAAAGGATACTGTGTTTCAGAAAAAAAATCACATTAACAACTAATAACACAGTAAAATGCTGTTGTGTTGAATGCTTCTTTAAAAAATATGCTCAAATGTAGGGAAAAATTGTGAGAGAAAACTATGTATCAATTATCTAGTTAGCTATCTAGAGACATGGTCTCATTCTTTTGCTCAGGGTGGAGAGCTGTGGGATGATCCTACTCACTATAGACCTGCTCCTGGCCTCAGGCGATCCTCCTGCCTTAGCATCCTAAGTGGCGGGGGACACAAGTGGATAGTTGTACCTGCCTTTTTTATTCGTTTGTGTTGTAGAGTCAGGATTTCACTACATTGCCCAGGCTGGTCTCAAACTCTGGAGTCTCGCTCTGTCAACCAGGCTAGGGTTCAGTGATGTGATCTCGACTAACTGCAACCCCTGCCTCCTCAGTTTAAGCAATTCTCCTGTCTCAGCCTCCCAAGTAGCTGGGATTACAGGCATGTGCCACCACATGCGGCTAATTTTTGTAGAAACCGGGTTTCATCACGTTGGCTACACTGATTTCAAACTTTTGACCTCAGGTGATCCACCTGCCTTGGCCTCCCAAAGTGCTGAAATTACAGGTGTAAGCTAGCAAGCTGAGCCACGGACTTTGTTATTAAATAGCCTAACCCAAGTGGGGCGCCGTGGCTCACAGCTTTAATCCCAACAATTCTGAAGGCCAAGGTGAGAAGATGGCTTGTACTCAGGAGTTCGAGACTGGCCTGGGCACAATGGGAGCATCTCTCCCCCAATCTCTACAAAAAAATACAAAATATTAGGTCAGACATGCACTGTGCCTGGCTAATTTTTGTATGTTTTTTTTTCTTATTTTTTTATTGCATTTTAGGTTTTGGGGTACATGTGCATAGCATGCAATACAGTTGCATAGGTACACACATGGCAGTGTGTTCTGTTTGCTTTCACCCCTTCACCCACATTTGGCGTTTCTCCCCAGGCTATCCCTCCCCACCTCCCCCTCCCACTGGTCCTCCCCCTTTCCCCCCAATAGACTCAGTGTTTAGTACTCCCCTGTACGTTTTTAGAGATGGGGTTTTGTCATGTTGCTCAGGCCGGTCTCACACTCCTGATTCCAAGCCATCCTCCCACTTTGGCCTCCCAAAGTGTTGGGATTACAGGGCCCAGGCAGCCTCAATTTTTCTTTAAGCAGTCCCCCAATGTCGCACGCTTGGATAGTTTTCTATTTTTTTAGACAAAGTTTACCTCAGTTTCGCAGGCTGGAGTGCTGTGGTAGAATCATAGCTCATTGCAGCCTTGAACCTTAGGGTTCAAGTAGCTGGGAGGCTGAGGTGGGACTACAGAAATGGGATCACATCACTTTCCCAGGCTGCTCTTGAACTCCTGGCCTGAAGAAAACTTCCCACCTCTCCAGTGTCCGGACACACTTTTTCTATTTTTAACCCACATAAACACTGTGCTGGGTTGGAGTTTGTTACCTACCCTTCTCCAGCCACCAGCACACAGGACACAGCGGGAGGTGGAGGTTAGAAGACTCTGCTCTGCGGAGAAGACAACCCAGCTCCTAGGCAACACACCTCAGTGTGAAGTTGCTGAAGGTCCACCTCTGTGATGTCGCCAGAGGCCTGTCTCTGTGCGCAGGAGGCGAGCCACTGTGACATCACCAGAGGCCCGTCTGTGCGCCAGAGGTGCGTCGCCGTGACGTCGTCGGAGGCGTGCCGTTGTGATGTTTTCAGAGGTCGGCCCCTTACGCGGAGCCAATCGGAAGTAGAGGCAGTGCTGCTGGTTCTTCTAGGAGTGCGCATGCACAGGCTGGTGATGGAAGCTGCTTCAGAGCTGGCACTTCCACATCGACAGGCTCCCACCTGGCTGCAGTCACCTATAGGCTCCAAAGAGGAGTTTTAAGATTTCCCAGTCTGCAGGGCCAGGACTGCAGGGACCCAACGCAGTGAGCAGGTGCTGCACACCAACCTCCCGGCGCCTGGTGGGCACGAGTGCAAGGTCGTGCAGAAGCTCCTAAATGGACAGTGAAGGGCTGCCAGTGCCACTGCTACCCCAGGCACGTATTCTCCTTGCCTCAGCCTAGGTACATGTGACCCCTAATACCTTTCCAAGCCAGGGACCCCAGGAGCATCCTTCACTGCTGCTCATCCTGGGCAGGACAGGGTAGGGCAGGACAGGGCAATTCGAGGCAGTTCAGAGCAGGGCAGGACAGAGCAGGGCAGAACAATTCGAGGAAGGGCAGGGCAGGGCCATTCCAGGCAAGGCAATTTGAGGCAAGGCAAGGCAAGGCAGGGAAAATCCAGGCAAGGCAATTTGAGGAAAGGCAAGGCAGGGCAGGGCAATTCAAGGCAAGTCAATTCAAGGCAGGCAAAGGCAAGGCAAGGCAAGGCAACTCAATGCAGGTGAAAGCAAGGCAAGGCAGGGCAATTCCAGGCAAGGCAAGCCAAGGCAAGGAAGGGCAATTTTAGGCAAGGCAATTTCAGGCAAAATAAGGCAAGGCAAGACAAGACAAGGCAATTTCATGCAAGCCAATTCCAGAGAAGGCAAGGCAGGACAATTCCAGGCAAGGCAATTCCAGGCAAGGCAAGGCAAGGTAATTCCAGGAAAGGCAAGATCAAGTCCAACAATGCAATTCTAGGCAAGGTAAAGCCAGGCTAGGCAAGGCAATTCCATGTAAGGGAAGGAAAGGCCAGGCCACGCAAGGCAATTCCAGTGAAGGGAAGGCAAGGCCAGGCCAAGCAAGGCAATTCCAGAAAGGGGAAGGCAAGATCAGGCCAGGCAATTTCAGGAAAGAGAAGGCCAGAACAGGCCAGGCAATTAAAGGGAAGGGAAGGCCAGCCCAGGCCAAGCCAGGCAATTTGAGGGACTAAAACGCTAGACCAGGCCAGGCAATTCCAGGGAAGGGAAGGCCAGGCCAGAACAGGCCAGGAATTCCAGGGAAGGAAAGACCAGGCCAGACCAGGCTATTCCAAGGAACTGAAGGCCAGGCCATACCAGGCCAGGCAATTACAGGGAAGGGATGGCCAGTCCAGGCCAGGCCAGGCAATTTTAGGGAAGAGAAGGCCAGGCCTGGCCATTCCAGAAAAAGGAATGCCAGGCCAGGCCATTTCAGGGCAGGGAAGGACAGGCAAAGCCATTCCAGGGAAGGGAAATCCATGCCAGGACATTCCAGGGAAAGGAAGGCCAGGCCAGCCCAGCCCAGCCCATTCCAGGGAAGGGAAGACCAGGCCAGTCCAGGCAATTCCAGGGAAGGGAAGGCAATGCAAGACCAGGCCAGACAATTCCAGGAAAGAGAAGGCAAGCCTAGGCCAGGCCAGGCAATTCCAGAAAAGGGAAGGCAAGGCAAGGTCATGCAATTCAATTGAAAGAAAACCCAGACCAGGCCAGACCAGGCAAGTCATTTCCAGGGAAGGGAAGGCCAGGTCAGGCCAGACCAGGTCAGAGAAGGCAATTCCGGGGAAGGGAAGACCAGGGAAGGGCAGACTAGTCCAGGGAATTCCAGGGAAGGGAAAGCCAGGCCAGGCCAGGTAATTCCATGGAAGGTAAGGCCAGGCCAGGTAACTCCAGGGAAAGGATGGCCAGTCCATGCCAGGCAATTTCAGGGTAGGGAAGTCCAGGCCAGACCAGCCAGGCAATTCCAGGGAAGGTCAGGCCAGGCCACCACAGGCCAGGCCAGGCAATTCCAGGGAAGGAAAGGCCAGGCCAGACCAGGCCAGGCCAGGCAATTCCAGGGAAGCGAAGGGCAGGCCAGGCAAGGACAGGAAATTCCAGGGAAGGGAAGCCCAGGCCAGACCAGGACAGGCCAGCCAATTCCACGGTATGGAAGACCAGGCCAGACCAGAAAACTCCAGAGAAGGGAAGGCCAGGCCAGGCAACTCCAGGGAAGGGAAGGAAAGTACAGGGCAGGCAAGGAAATTCCAGGGAAGGGAAGGCAAGGCCAGGCCTGGCCAGGCCAGGCAATTCCTGGGTAGGGAAGGCAAGGCCAGGCCAGGCCAGGCCAGACAATTCCAGGGCAAAGAAGGCAAGGCCAGGCCAGGCAAGGCAATTCCAGGGAAGGGAAGGCCAGGCCAGGTCAGGCTAGGCAATTCCTGGGTAGAGAAGGCAAGGCCAACCCAGGCAAGGCAATTCCAGGGAAAGGAAGGTAATGCCAGGCCAGGCAAGGCAATTCCAGGGAAGGGAAGGCAAGACCAGGCCAGACCAGGCAAGGCAATTCAAGGGAAGGGAAGCCCAGTCCAGACCAGGCAATTCCAGAAAAGGGAAGCTAGGCTGGGGATGCCCTAAAGGCTTTTTTCAGAAGCCCCCCCTTTTCAGGACAGCACCCCAGGATTGCCCCTTCCTCCCTTGGATCTTGGGGTTGCTGTGTTTTAAGGTTCCCTGATGTCATTCCATTTGGGGGAGGATGGGCCCTTTACACTGTGTCTCCCTGTTATGCTTGGAGCCCTTTGAGGCCTGGCTCACAGTAGGTAGTCAACCATGTTGAAAGTGAGCAACCTTGGGCCAAGTGTTATGTGGCATTCCCTGCTTTCACTCTCACAGCCCTTTGTGACATGGGGCCTTTCATTTTTACCCCCATTTTATAGATGAAAACACTGAGGCCCAGCAAGTTTGCATTACTTCCCCAGGTCATAGGGCCTATAAGAGGAGGGTAGGAATCAAATCCTCTCCCTTCCCTGGTATCCATCACTATGCCATGGATACAAGTCCCTTATCAGACACATGGTTCACAAATGTTTTCTCCTGTGTTGTGTATCATCTTTTTACTTTCTTGATGGTGTTCTTAAAAGTTCAGAAGATTTTTTTGTTTTTGTCTTTTGAAATGGAGTCTCACTCTGCCACCCAGGCTGGAGTGCAATGGCGAGATCTCAGCTCACTGCCACCTCCAAGGTTCAAACAATTCCCCTGCCTCAACCTCCCGAGTAGCTGGGATTCCAGGTGCCTGCCACCATGCTCTGCTAATTTTTATACTTTTTGTAGAGACAGGATTTCATCACGTTGGCCAGGTGGGTCTCAATCTCTTGACCTCCAGTGATCCACCTGCCCCCAAAGTGCTGGGATTGCAGCCGTGGGCCACCACACCCAGCAAGAAGTTCAGACGTTTTTAATTTTGGTAAAGTCCAATTTATCTGTTTTTTTATTTATCATTTTATTTTGTTACTTTTGCTTTTCGTGTGGTATCTGAGAAGGTTTTGCCTAACCCAAGTTCATGAAGATTTATGTTTTCTTCTAAAAGTTTTATAGTTTCAGTTCTTACATTTAGGCCTATGAGTCATTTGGGGTTAATGTTTGTGTACTGTGTGAGGAAGGAGTCCTGTTCCTTTATTTTTTATTTTTATTTTTATTTTATTTTATTTTATTTTAGAGACAGAGCCTCACTCTGTCACCTAGGCTGGAATACAGTGTGGTGTGATCATAGCTCATTGCAAACTCTAACTCCTGGGCTCAAATGATCCTCCTGCTGGGACTACAGGTGCGCATCATCATGCTGTCATTTCCACTCTCTCTTTTTCTTCCCTTCTCTTCTCTTCTCTTCTCTTCTCTTCTCTTCTCTTCTCTTCTCTTCTCTTCTCTTCTCTTCTCTTCTCTTCTCTTCTCTCCTCTCTCCTCTCTCCTCTCTCTCTCTCTCTCTCTCTCTCTCTCTCTCTCTCTCTCTCTCTCTCAATCTCTTCCTTTCTTTTGACAGGGCCCTGTTATGGTGCCTGGGATTGTCTTGAACTCCTGGATTCAAGCAATCCTCCTACCTTGGCTCCCCCAAGTGCTGGGATTACAGGCGTGAGGCACCATGCTTGGCCTCTACCCTTTTCTTCTGCTCAAGATTATCCAATTGTCCCCACTTAATTGCTTGAAGAGGCTTTTCCTTCCCCACTTAGGGCTCAATTTTGAGGGCAGGAGGGAGGCACGCTTACGGTATGTCTTCCCTCACAAGTCTCATTACTCAACTCTCAGAGGTCCCAGAGAGGCCATAGCAAGCTTCCAGCTAGAGCCACCCCCAGCTCTGGATTTTCCATCTCAGGGTGACTCTCTCTGGGAATGGGAAGACATAGAGGAGAATCGGAGGGACACAGGTGGCCACAGCCTGTGAGGGAGGGGAGGCACCCCAAGGAAGATGACCCAGGCCATGTAAAACTTTACAGGAAGATGCTGGGGCTGCTGGAGCTGACCTCTGCCTTCAGAGGAAATTTTGCCAGTCTAGTGGCTCTAAAAGGAACACTGGGAAGGGGTTCTGCCAAGTGTTTGGATGGAGGCAACAGGACACTCCAAGTCAGCAAGATTCTCCCAAGGCCAACTCCTTCAGCTCTCTCCATGCCCATCGGACCGTGACTACTCAGTCCCCAGGAGGGCTTCCCTGTGCCAACAGAGGCCTTCCTGTGGCCGTCTCCCAGGACTCCTGTGTTCCTGCCTTGGGGTCTTGGCACCTCCTGCAGTCTGGGATGCTCTCCTGAGTCCTGCCACTGCTTCCTCCGCTTCCTTCAAGGGCTGCCCAGAATCCCACCCCATTTCTCCCAGGCTGCTCTGGAGTGGGACATTGGGACATTGCCTGCTCTCACCTGAAGAATTCTGGGACAGCAGAGCCCTGAGACCATCAAGGCCAGAGGTTTGCACACTGTTCTTCAGGGGTCTCTAGAGGGC